ATAACATTTTAAAAGAGGTGCAACATTTATACAGTTTTTAATATGATTGCATTTGTATAGTAATCAGTGTTAATCCCAACACCACAGTGCTGCTGATATACAAGGTAAAGACAGAATCAGACTCATCAGAATGAATGCCTGTTTAATCTATAAAAGTAGTGTAAATATATATTGTTCATATCTGGGAACATGTGACGCTTTTTAGCTCTCGAAAAAAGTGTGAAAAATTACTAGAGGTCAAATAATTACCCCTCGAATGGAAATTCATAGTGATTAGACTGCACCTGCAGGGTGCGCAGCCGCTACTGACTTTACCTACTTAATTCTCATAATTACTTACACACAGCCATGGCTAATGGATCAAACCAAAGACGATACCTATGCCATAAAATATGAGCATGAATGTGATTTATTTGTGTGCATGATATGGGAGACATGATCTTTCTTGATACTAGCAGCAGGGGCTGAAAGATTCACGTTGAATTTTGACTGCTATCAGGTGTTGCTGTTGCATTTTAGTTTCTTGGAGTCAGAAATAATCATGTAGTGGATACATGTGTTGGTACACGTGTCAAAAGCCAGCCACTTTCCAAACTTTGAGTCTTAAAAAAATGTAAAAATACAAGTTATAGAAAACGTCTCCCATGATGCAGTTGTTATAAAGGTAGACCTTACCCCCAGAAAACAAAAAAAGGTTTCATGTATCATGCTGTAAACATCTTTCCTTCTGCTGTAAAGTCTGTGAGGACTGGCTCGCGTTTGGAGACAGCAGAGGAACTGCAGAACTGCTGTAAACATGTAAACACTTTCTTATTCATTTTTGAACCTTATAATCCTCCCACTCACCCACTCCAGTAAACCGCTATTGCCCATTGATTAAAATATATCTAAAAGATATATCTAGTGTTCATTTTAATTTCAAATCAAAACCCACAAATGAGCAGTCAACACCACCGTTTAGGGTTTTTCCCTCATACCAACTTCAGTATTCAAAGCACAGATTCAGACCACCAGAGTTTCATATGAAACAAATGAAATAAAACAGCAAAATAATTAAATAATTAAAGTTTGGTTTCTTTTTCTCTAATCAACACAAGGTACCAGGTTTTTAGGGGCTAAATGTTGATCTTGTTTGTAAAATGGTGTTGATAGCAGCTGAATAATCAGCTGTAAAACTCTGTAGATTTGAGGGAACAGTGGAATAAGGTTGAAATGAATCAAGGGAGTAAAAGTTCATTCAAACAATGAAAGGGTTTCCTCTTATGAGCTGTGACCATGTAGTCTGTGTGTGAAAAATGACAGAATGTGGTCTTAGAAACCGAGGACGTTTCCAGGATATTTCAGATGGGTAGCCATGAGCACAATGCTCAGCCTAAATGCAGAAATTATGACACAAAATTTAGCTTTAGCAAAATGTTTATGACATACCCACAGTAAATGTTCTTTAAGTAAAAGAACTGCTTGTGCTGCTGATAATTATTGATTTATTGATGTGTATCATGTCAGTGTTGCAGCTGGAGATGATTACAATTACTTATATACTGCTGTTTAGCTTTGGCTACAATGTTACACCATCATATATTAGTGGCTTTAAGTTTCAAATCTGTTAAATAAAGTGTAACTGATGCTTTGAAATAAGTTCAGATTAGACTTTTTTTTATGCAGTTATATAAAAAATGAATTACTGTTTTGGTAAAACACCAATAAAAAATACTCCATGTAAAACAGTAGGTTATACAATCAGTAATAAACTCAAATCATATTTAGCAGAAATGTAATGGTGCTGAATTAATAAAATAATAATACAGCAGTAATTGCTTATGACAAGCTTCTTATGATGCTCTTGTTCAGCAGCCTGATTGATGTGAGAATGTGTTACCTGTCCAAGCCTGCAGAGATGTGTCTAACATTTTCTGCCTTTTTCTCTGCCCTAACCAATGACTGTAGTCCTGACTGTCTTTCAGAACAGGAACCACGAGAGGATTCAGCCTGAAGACTCACTCTGTGTTTAATTATTAAGCATTAGGCTTCCTGATGGTTTGGTCCTTTGTTTATAA